CCCCAAAACCCCAAAACCCCAAAACCCCAAAACCCCAATTACCAATTTTTAAGTTGATGTGAAATTCATTTTAATTTTATTAGCTCTAATTTTTCTAAAGAATTATATCATTTAATATTCAGCTGTAATTTTAGGACCATCAAAGTCTGAAAATGATATATGACTTTGACTATATGGCAACAAGCAATCATAAGGTAAGCCATAATGCATGAAATAGAATATTCAGTTCCAGAAAAGCTGCCCTTTGAGCTGCCTGAATATAATGAGGTCAAACATTTTCTCTTTCTTCTGTATCTGTACACTTTCATAAAGCCTATTGACCAAGATCCGTAATTCCTTTTCTGATATAAGTAGCTGCTCTTCTTGCTCTATACTACCGATACCAACCGGAGTGATAAGAGATGGGCCTCCAATAGTTGCTATAATCTCTGGGAGAATGTCCTGTTTTCAGGATATTCACTCAAATCCTATGTTCTTCATCCCTTTAATAATACCCTTATATTTGATCTTGCAGTCGCAGTTATCACAGATTGCTTCAATGTGCAAGAAAAGTGTATCAGGGACAAGGAAATTGTGCATGTCTTTCTCTCTTTTAAAAGTTCTCTTCTGGAAAGTCTCCTTCTTCTCCTGATAATATTCAGACTTTAAATCAACAGAGGAAGTGTATTGGACTAGTCTCTTTTTCCTTTCCTTCTTCCCAATCTCGTGACTGACCACTGGTGAGAAAGAGAGCATCTTCTTTTTAATAGAAGGAGGCTTCAAACCAAATTCTGTCATTCTTTGAGTTTTAGAATCCAAAAATTCAGAATCATGGTGCTCAATCACCGAAGTCCTTGTTCGAGAAGGAGACTGAATATTTATTTTAATATCCTCAAATAAGTCTTCACGGATAGTTTTCTCTTGCTTTTTCAAATCAAGTATTTCATTATGCTTACGGATAGCATTGAAGAAGATGTGGTCGAGCTTAGCATTACCTTTAATATTCAGCAACCTCATAAACTCATAAAGTTCTTCTATCATATCGAACCTACCGTGTTCAAGGATGGTTTCAAATAGGTCTTCGAGGATCAGATTCTTACTTTGGATATCGGCTATTTTTAGCATTTTGTAGATGATTCCTCAAATCTGCTCCATCCTGAACTTATTTCTCATCAGCTTGGAGATATTCAAAGTCTAGGGGATATACAAGAGAGCTTACTGAGGATCCACATCATTATCCATATTATGTAGATGTTCTGGATCTGGCCTTTAGTCCGCACCTGAATTAGACTTGTGCATCCTTTTCTTTGGCTCAAATGTTTGTCAAGATCATGAAAATTATTCTTCAAGGAATAGGTCTTTGATAAATCTGGTGCAAATCTATCCTCAGCGAAATTTGAAGAGCATGGAATCAAACTCTCTCAAATAGCTGGGAAAACTACATATCTGATATAGTGATTCCTTTTTGAGAAGCTTGTATGTCTCATTTCACTCTCTGACTGACCTCGGCTAAATATTTAGGCACAGACTTACTCCTGAATCTCAATTGTTTGTATGAATTGATCAATCTTAAGGTCATTAATATCCATACAGTTAATGTAATCATTTTTCATTGAAAATCATCCGCCGTTGAACTTCTCAGGGTGAAAGGAATAAGTAAAGATTTCTTTTGATTTTTCAATTCCCTTAAACACATTGGTTGCAAAGAATAGTGGCAACTTCGATAAGTTTTTAATACACTGATCAAAGTGCTTATGGATCTGGACTTGCTCTACAGTATCTGGAATAATCTTTGTTTCTAAAAACACCACCCATGTTCTGGTAGCAAAGAAGTCTTTAAAGAAATCTGTTTCTGAATTGTCATTCTTGAGGAACAAATCTTGGTTAAAAACATCTTTTAGATCCCATGTTTCCAGATTATTTTGGCCTAGTGAAATATTTGAGGTAATTTTTAAACAGATCAGCGAAGTACTGCAAGAAATAACCTCTAATATCATTAACAAAATCTGTCTTGCTCATTGGAGAATTCTCTTGATTACTGTCAAACTATGGGAAATTAGCAAAATAAAGTACCTTAGAAATTCATTTCTCCAACTCTATGGTTAGTTTATTTAGGTTTGTGTCTGGAAGTCTCTTGAATTTGGTGGACCTCTTCTTGAAATCAATGATTTCTTCTTGTGTGTAATACTCCTGCATGGTCATATTCTCGCCATTAAATCTTATAGCTAGCTCATCTGAGTCGAGAAGAATCACCATTGTGTTGTCACTGCAGGAAGAAATTATCGATTCAACCTCAAATTCAGATTTGTTATCCTATATGTTTATAAAGATAATTACTAGTAACCCCAAATGTCACGGGAAGGGAGCTTCAATACTCTTTATCATATTCGGAGCAAGTAAGGGGACATAAGGGTCATCATAAGTAAACGGGTAGATTATTGCTCTTAGCACTTCACTTACTACTACAAGTTTTGAAGCATCATTTGAAACCAACAGTGTATTACCTGCCTGGCACATAAACCAGTATAGTACTTTATATAAATTTTTAAAGGAAAGATAAGGATTCGAAAAATACTTGCAAAGATATTCAATGTTATAATTTGAATCAGTAATCGTTTTCTCCTTCAAATTTGGTAATGAGATCTTTACATTAGTCCCAAAACATGCCAATGGCACTTCATAGGTGAGATAATAAATATACGCATCAATGGGATAATTTATCCTATATATTGCTTGCTTATACAGTGTTAGAAGCATCTCTTGCATCACATCAAAAATAGGTAAACTGCTGATCAGCATCATCGCTTTTGGAATAAAGTACTCTTTTCCATCAAAGACCTTTGTCTTTTCTGAATTTTCGTAATCTCTCTGGTCTATATATAATCAGTAATGATCTGTATCATTGAGCTGTTAAGAGCATCTAAGTTATCCTGGTCTGTCTCTTCAGTCAGGCTAGGCCTCTTCTCGACTACGTTGCATGAGTAATCTCGTTTGTGAATGGACTTTTTAGAGTCAACTATTTCTAAATATGTGCTAGGTTGAAATTCTGGATAGGGAGCTGGATTGGGGTTGGTGGGATTGTATTTGTTTAGGGATGCAGAATAGGAGGGGGTAGTTGAGATGTCTTTGGGTATATTTATATTAAGATAGCTTGCTAAGTTTTCCCAGAAGATCATTACTTGAACAAACTTATTTGGTTCCTTTGTCTCCTGTCAGTACGAGAGGTATAAACTTAGGATCCTTAAAATTGGTAGCCAATTTGTATCCATTAATAAAGGCCAAATCATTAATAGAGATAGGGAATTGATATTCAGGTCTGTCAACTTCAGGTACTCGTCAAATAATATCAGGAGTAATTTCTGGTAGAACATTTGAAGGTACAATTTTTTCTCAATCTTCTTTAAGGAGCTTGATAGTATCATAAATTTGTTCCACATTAGACCCACTCATGATGAAGTAATCAATAAGGGGATTTGAAGAGTTGAACACCTTTGTCCATTCCCCTTCCTCTTGTATTATCTCCATTTATTAATAACCAACACTATGAATAATAAATGGGGTTTTGGGGTTTTGGGGTTTTGGGGTTTTGGGG